ATAAGTTTGTTCTTCTTGAACTTCTAATGGTTCTTTGTTATTGGGTGACTGGGAATTCTGGGAGTTGAAGCCCACACATCTTAAAGTTGCTGAGGTTAAGAAACACTGCTCTAGAGGATGCTATCCTGCCTTTTGGATTGAGATAAGGGTCAACTTTCAATTGCTGGATGTGGAATGGAAACAGGAGAGGCAAATTATGTCTTCGAGTTAAAAACAACTTACATTGGGCCAACTTTGTGTATGTATAAAAACGGAGAATGGACTTTGTACAATTGCATACATGGTGCTCCCATTTTTCCCTACATCACCAATTCCGTGAGTTACGTGTCAGGTTACGATGTCGTCTCAAATAAATCGCATTTCCAAACAAATAGTCTTTGATGAAATCTTTCATTTATTGAGCACAACAATCTGTCCCCGAGTCCATCATAGTCAGCACTGACCTTCTGACCCCAAACCCTCCCTTTCCGTTCCCCCATTCTCTGCGTCTCATTGGCCATCTTCCAAGTCACTCTCCCCATATCTACTACTTCAGCTCACAGGAATGTCCCACCTCCCATCCCATCTCCTAGGGGATAATATCTTCAGGGAAAATAAGTAGGTGAAGAGTCAAGCGTCCTCTTCTCTTCCTTATGTCAGCACTGGAGTGCTGACATTACGTTGAACTGAGAGGATGTGACTGACTCAGATTAACTCAGTATATTTCCATGACTGAGAGTGGAATTGAATTTGGTCCTAATCCAAGCCCAACCATTATAGCATCCTGCCTCTTGTGCTGTCAGTGAGTTTACCTCTTTATAAACATTGCTGTGAAAATAGGAAACAATTGGTGCAAAATTAGTCACTGAGCCACTACATTGCTTGCTGTTCTATTAGCCTACATACATTTTACTTTTGTCATGCTTTTTTTGTTTTTAATATGGATTCAGGGCTACAGAGCTGTACTTTTGTAAAAACAGCAGATAGCAACGACAGGGAAAAATATCAACGATGAACTTGAAAATGTGCTGAACTCGAAAATGTGCTGTTTTCAAAGAAACAAAAGCCTAAATATTCTGCAAAAAAAACAAAAACAAACCACCCAGCTGTACCTGCTTTGTCAGCTGCAGTTCTTAACGTCAGCCTTCAGAGGGCGCTTGTGCTGGAGCCTTGTGTGCCTTTTCTGGTACTTAAAATCATGCCGAAAGACACTTTTGCGTTACAGAGAGCTAATGATTCAACACGGAGGACAATCCTATTGAGCTATATTTAAACTAATGGCTATTACCCAAGGCTGAATGAATTAAATAATGCCAAAATATACAGCAGCCGTTCGTTTTCAACCATGTTCCCTTTTAGAAAGTGGGTGAATTCAATTATATAAGGTGATTCTGATGCAGCATAGACTATGGTCAGGCTAACCACAGTTAGTGTTGAACTAGGTTGGTCTGTTTGTTTGGATTGGTTTAGGGCAGTGATGGCTAATCTTTTTGCCATCACGTGCCAGGAGGGGGGGCGGGGGGAGTGTTGCACGCGTGCATGCCCACACCCATAATTTTATCTGTTTTTGTCCTCCGGAGGACCTCCCGGGGGGGGGAACCATTTTCGCCCTCCCCAGACTCCTAGAGAGGCTCTGGAGGCTGTGGACAGCAAAAAACAGGCCTTCCGGTCCCACTGGAAGTTGGCAAATGGGTCGTTTCTGGCCTCTGGAGGGCCTCTGGGTGGGGGAAGGCAGTTTTTGCCTTTCCCAGGCTCCTAGAGAGGCTCTGGAGGCTGGGGACAGCAAAAAACAGGCCTTCCCCCCCACCCCCGAGGCCCTCTGGAGGCAGGAAACAGCCTGTTTCCCTACTTCTGGTGGGCCCAAAAGGCCAGAAGGAGCTGAGCTCGCGTGCCCACTGACATGGCTACGTGTGCCACCTGTGGCATGCGTGCCATAGGTTCGCCATCACGGGTTTAGGATATTTTAAGGCTTTATGGTTTGATGTTTTGAACAACCGTAGAAAAGAAGGGAATTCGGAACCAGGTTCATATTTGAGGTTTGGCATATGAAACTCAAAAAAACTCAGTTTCAAATCAAATCAAGTTTATTACAGTCAAAGAGCAGAGACCAGGACAAATAAAAACACTCTAGGAATATCCAGTTAAAAATTCTAAAATAAAATAACAACAGATAAAATCTCTATTAAAATCACACTTTGGTATCCAATCTGTCAGTTACACATGGCCTAACTATACTATAATATCAATCCTTAAACTGTGAGACCCACAGCTGTTAAATAGTCAAATGCAAAAGAGGGGTAATGCAAAGGGGTTTGTTACATTAGTTGAGTAAAATAGCTATGATGGAGTAATCATATGTTTCCTATGAATCCCTGGTATATTAACTGGTACAAAAACTCTGGGTTAATACAATCCCATTGTCATTTGTAGTGAGAAACCCCTACTGAAAATGGTAAGCGTTATTTTTGATTAAACAGCCATAAGATTGTGTGGTTGGAGTCATTTGACAATTTGGATTGTGAAAGTAAACCTTGGTATGTTGTATTTGACTGTGTGGACCAGGGCTGTCAAACTTCTGGCCCGTGGGCCTGATGAGTCACACGGTGGGCCACCCCCACCCCCATTTTAGCATGACAGTGCTGTGACGATGCGAGTTTGACACCACTGGTGTGGACTATTTTTTTTATTTTTTTTTAATTTGATTTATATGCCGCCCTTCTCCGAAGACTCAGGGTGGCTTACAATGTGCTCAGCAATAGCCTTCATCCTTTTGCATATTTATACAAAGTCAGTTTATTGCCCCCACAACTGGGTCCTCAATTTACCTACCTTAGAAAGGATGGAAGGCTGAGTCAACCTTGAGCCTTGGCGAGATTCGAACCCTGCAGTAATTGCAGGCAGCTGGTCTTAATAACCAGCTTAATAACAGGGTGCCTTAAACCCCTGTACTACCAAGGCTCTTTTTTGGCTTGCAAAGATGCTACTGAGAGTATAATTCAGCACCATGGCTGGCCATAGTTGAGAAAGAGACTGCCAGCAAGATCCTATGAGAATATAAATAATTGCTTCTTTCTTTTGCATTCAATTTTAATAGTTTATTGTAATTTTAGTGGGTGAGAAAGTTGCTGGATTTGTAAGGTATGGAAGCAGTTGAAAATTCTACCCCAACTTGTATGCAAATAGACACATCTATACATATATTATGAGAGCCAGTTTAGTACAATGGTTAAGGCAAAATTGGGAGACCATTTCTATTCTATCTTAGGCACAAAGCTGGCTGGGTGACATTGGACTAGTAATTCTCAGCCCTAGGAAGGAGGCATTGGCAAACCACTTCTGAAAAAATCTTGCCAAGAAAACTGCAAGGTTAGGGTTAGACTTGCTCAGGAAGTCTCTGAGAATCTGAGTGATTGAACAGAAAAAATAAATATGTTGTATACATATCAGTGGTGGGATTCAGCCGGTTCAGGCCAGTTCGGGAGAACCAGTAGTTAAATTGCTGGCTGGCTCCACCCCTTCCCACCCCGCCCCTTCCAGGAGTCTCCATGTGCCCCATTTTGGCTCCCAGGTAAGTGCAGGGAGGCCTCCTAGGCCCAAAATGGGGGGCAGTGGTGTTTGCGGCGTGTCCCCCCACCCCACGTTTTCACTCCAGGAAGCTTCAGGGAGGCCTCCTAGGCCCAAAATGGGCCACGGGGGGGAGGGGACACCCCATGGCCCATTTTCATTCCCAGGGGAGTGCAGGAAGCCGAGTGCTGCCTGTCACATCCTTGGCCACGCCCACCCAGCCGATCATTAGGGCAGAGAACAGGTTGTTAAATTATTTGAATCCCACCGCTGATACACATGTATTAAAAATATTAAAAATGCATATGTTGTATACATTATTTATATTATATTCATATGTAACTAAAGCTTCTGTAGAATTGGAGGTCTCAGTCAGGAACACGCATAGCTGGAAGGACTGGTCTGAAAGAAGAAATGATGGCAACTCTGGTGGCTCTTTTCAAACCATCTAATCCAGGGAGTGATTGCACCTGTCACTATCCGTAACCCAATCAGAACTGTCAAGGAAGCTGGATGAGAATAGGGATGTCTTGTTTCACCTTGACAAGTTTTTGTAAACTACTTTTAAATTGTTGTTTCATGGGGTTTTTCTACATCGTGTTTTCAACCTTTTGTTGTTGTTGTTGTTAGATGCCTAGGCTTATTTGTTAAGATGGGCAGCCATTTAAATTTGTGAAATACATTTCCAGGGAATTTTGAATGTGCTAATGCATCTGGGCATATTGTTTTGTCAACATATGTTTTAACTGTATATACTGCCAAAGGTTCAACTATAGCAGTGGTGCAATTAAAATTTTTTTTACTACCGGTTCTGTGAGTGTGGCTTGGTGGGCGTGATGTGTTGTGGCTTGGTGAGCGTGGCAGGGAAAGGATACTGCAAAAACTCCATTCCCTCCCCACTCCAGGGAAAGGATACTGCAAAATCCCCATTCCCTGCCCACTCCTGGGGGAAAGATATTGCAAAATCTCCATTCCCACCTCACTCTGGGGCCAGCCAGAGGTGGTATTTGCCGGTTCTCCGAACTATTCAAAATTTCCACTGCCGGTTCTCCAGAACCTGTCAGAACCTGCTGAATAGCACCCTTGAACTATAGTCAAAACATAGCCTCTTAAATCTTTAAAATAACTATTATTGATTTGCTTGGCCAGGACTTCCAATTTCCCCACTATCTTCACATTAGGATTAGTGTAATAGAACAGAGTTCCATGGCAAATTTAAGAAAGAGTCCAACAGGAATGTTCTACCTCTAGGAGGCCAGAAGTAGAATATTCCTGTTGAGAGATTCATTCATTCATTCATTCATTCATTCAATCAATCAATCAATCAATCAATCAATTAATGTATATGGCTTCCCAGTCATAGAGCAATTACAGTAACTTGAGAACAAAATTTGGCTGTGAGAAAAGGAGGCAAAGAAGGAATCAAGATTGAACATAAAGAGTCTGGACGTTAAAAATTAGACTTGTCGCTTTACTCTTCTGTAGTGTTGATGGACTCTGTCATTTCAATATGATTGTGATACCTTCGCAATTACATTTTTATTTCAATTTTTGGTTTCCTTGAACCAAAATATATTGCATATGCACCTTAAACCGTCTTCTGAGTTCCTTGTCAAAGAGAGATCACGAAGTAGAAAATCTATTTTTGTCTTCACTTGATTCGCAGTGAGGCTTCTCCTACTTTGATCTTCATGATTTGACTGCTGATTGAGTACGAAGGGCGAGAAATGTTTCTTCATCAATGACCACAGGTAACGATGACCTTAAGGCTGTGATCCAGAGATTTGGATGCAGTTTAGTCAAAACACTTTGATAATTTGGAAAGCCTTTTGCCGATATAGAAAAGAAACTCAGAAATTACTACTAAGCTAAGAAAGACTATGCTAAGACAGAGCCTTAGGGCTTCACAAACCTTTGCAACCACTAGCAACAAGTAGTTATTTTTTTCTATTTCCCACAAATTAATAAAGAATGAGAGACAGAGAAGCAATTCAATAAAGGGAGCAATTGGAAGACTACTTCAAACTTCAGCAGCATCTTCTGAAGACAGGTAGTCCTCACTTAGTGACCACTGATTCAGCAGGCATTCAAAGTGATGAGAAGGCTGAACAAGGAGGCTGAAGGCCGGTGTGGCTGTTGCAAGGGCCCTCACAATGACTTGATTGTGATTAGGACACTTAGCAACCGGAATGCAGTTTCAAAGGTCATAGTGTCCTGTAGTCACATGATTGCCTTTTGCGAGTTTCACTCCTGGCTTCCCCAAGCACAGTCAATGGGGAAGCAGCAGGAAGTTGCAAGCCATGGTCCTGTGTCACCGCATTTAACGACTGCCACTAGAACTGCTGGAACTGCCACTGTAAGTTGGAGCACTCACATGACTTTTCGCTCTAGGACAGGGGTCTCCAATCTTGTCAACATTACGACTTGTGGATTTCAACTCCCAGAATTCCTCAGCCAGCATGCCCTGGCTGAGGAATTCTGGGAGTTGAAGTCCGCAAGTCGTAAAGTTGACAAGATTGGAGACTCCTGCTCTAGGACCTTGTGGTTTAGCAGTGAAGTTACGTATTCCCAACTCTGGTTGTTAACTGATGACCACCTGTATAAAGGCTGAATGGTAGACGGCCATACAGAGCTAAGTGTAAAGTAAAAGGATATTACACTCTGAGTAAAAGGAACAACATTCCCAGTCCTTAAAGGGTAGGAAAAGAATACTGCCTTATTACAGGAAAAGGTTGGCAGATAAAACAAAAAACACAGAATAAAAATGTGTTGTGCATTGTCACTTTTCACTTTTAGCTACAACACTGCCACGTATCGAAATATCATTAGGCACCAATAGGTAGATTACTTATATGTATTAGGCAGTGGTAGAATTCAATTTTTTTTACTACTGTTTCTTGGGCGTGGTTTGGTGGGTGTGGCTTGGCGGGCGTGGCAGGGGAAGGATGCTGCAAAATCCCCATTTCCTCCCCACTCCTGGGGGAAGGAGATTGCAAAATCTCCATTCCCACCCCACTCTGGGGCCAGCCAGAGGTGATATTTGCTGGTTCTCCGAACTATTCAAAATTTCCGCTACCGGTTCTCCACAACCTGTCAGAACCTGCTGAATAGCACCCTGGTATTAGATTTAATACATGTGAAGTGTATATTTTGTAAAATATACCAACCTTGAGTATATTTAAGAAAGGAAAAGCATTCAGCTTCCTGATCTATGGTTTGTACCATAACTATATTTAATTCTCTCCCTATAACACCTCTCCTGTGCGAGCTGCTCTGGCTCCCGGTGGTCTTCCGGGTGCGCTTCAAGGTATTGGTTACCACCTTTAGAGCGCTCCATGGCTTAGGACCTGGGTACCTACGAGACCGCTTTCTGCCACCGGTAGCCTCTCACCAGCCAGTACGCTCCCACAGAAAGGGGCTCCTCAGGGTGCCGTCGGTCAAACAGTGTCGACTGGCGGCCCCCAGGGGGAGAGCCTTCTCTGTGGGGGCACCTGCCCTTTGGAACAAGCTCCCCCTGGAAATACGGAGGATCCCGGATTTACACACTTTCCACCGTGCCCTCAAGACTTTTTTATTCCAACAGGCTGGGCTGGCCTAACTCTTTTTAACTGCTTAATTTTAATTTGCTTTTTAAAAAGGGGTATTTTAATTACTATGGGCCAAATTTGTTTAATATGTTTTAAATTGTTTTTAAAATTTTATATTGTATGTGTTTTATCTTTGGCTGTTCACCGCCCTGAGTCCTTTGGGAGAAGGGCGGTATATATATCCAAATAAACATAAACATAAACATAACCATAATCAGATCTAACAAATAAACATATTGTTTTCAGTCCTGGAAGGTATAAACATGCATGTTTTAGAAACCCTAACAGGCTTCTTTGTTACTGAAGTGGAATGCCTAAATCTTTCCCCAAAATTTTATCTGGTCTCATTCAATTCTAGTTTCACACTTACAGAGCACAATCCCAGTTCTGTCTTCAAATGTTGCATGTAATAGACCTAGAAATTAATTTCACATTGGGCAAAATAATCACTTTCAACCGTAACATTCCAATATTTTTGCATGCATGAGCCAATCGAACGAGTCCGATGGTAATTAATTTACTGAAGTGGACTTGGTGATAGAAAAGGCTCTTGGTTATCCCATGTTTGAGAAACAGGAATGGATGGAGAGACAGTCTTGGCTAAACTCAAATATTCCAACCAGAAAGACTAGGACTATTTGGCACTCCCTACTCTCCAAATTTTACGCCAGTTAAAGTGAGTAAATATAAAATGATCTGGATTAATGTAGAGAGAATGCATTTCAGTCATACTTGGCTGCAGTTCTTAACATCTGGAACATAATTTGTTTAGAGTGCCATAAAGTGTGCTTTTAGTATGTACTCTCAATGGCAATAGAGCAGAATCTTAATTAAACACGCCAAAATCTGATTAAATATTTGTCTTCTATTAGAATCAATAGGACCTTGGACAGAAGAAGAAGAATATAAAAATCAAATGTTATTAAAAGTGGGGAAAAAAGCCTTGCAAATAATGCCTGCCCAATGTCACACGTGTGCGGTTTTGTTTCTAAAAAAAATTGGAGGGCAGACTACGAATGTTGGCCTGCAGCTGTGACAGTGCAAGTTTCTGATTCAAGTCTCTTTTGTACTTGTGAAGATACTTTGACTTTATATAGGGGCTCCTTGATTTACAACCAGTCCAGAGGTGGGTTTCAGCAGGTTCTGACCTGTTCTGGAGAACCGGTAGTGGAAATTTTGAATAGTTCAGAGAACCGGTAGTAAAAATTCTGACTGGCCCCGCCCCCATCTATTCTCTGCCTCCCAAGTCCCAGCTGATCAGGAGGAAATGGGGATTTTGCAGTAATCTTCCCCTGGAGTGGGGAGGGAATGGAGATTTTACAGTATCCTTCCCCTGGAGTGGGGTGGGAATGGAGATTTTACAGTATCCTTCCCCTGCCATGCCCAACCAAGCCATGCCCACCAAGCCAAGCCACGCCCACCAAGCCACATCCATAGAACCGGTAGTAAAAAAATTTGAAACCCAGCACTGAATCAGTCACTGAGAAACCATTTGTAGTTACAACAGAGCCCCCCCCCTTGATTCAATTTCAAGGTTCTGATGGACGACATCCCACTCCCATGTTTATGTTCCACATTTGGGGCAGAGCTGGGTTTCACATAATTTTACCACTGGTTCGCCGTGCACCAAAACTGTGAGTGTGTGCGTGCCTTCTGCGCATGCGCGCAACCTTCTGTGCATGTGCTTTGCATGCGTGTGCCTTAGAAAACATGGCTAAATAGGATGGCATAGACGGCTGGAACGGGCCCGGGCTCACACACAGGTCGCTTCTTCCGGTTCACACGCACTGGTCTGAACCAGCTGAATACCACCACTGATTTGGGGTGCTCTCAACTTTTATGCCCCTTTGCAGCATCCTATGGTCACATGATCACGATTTTTTTTTTTTATTTGATTTATATGCCGCCCTTCTCCGGAGACTCAGGTCAGCTTACAATGTGCTCAGCAATAGCCTTCATCCTTTTGTATATTTATACAAAGTCAGCTTATTGCCCCCACAATCTGGGTCCTCATTTCACCTACCTTTGAAAGGATGGAAGGCTGAGTCAACCTTGAGCCTTGGCGAGATTCGAACCTGCAGTAATTGCAGGCAGCTGGTCTTAATAACCAGCTTAATAAGCTGTACTACCAAGGCTCATTTACAATGTTTTTTGCCAAAATCCAGCACTTACTTCCAGTTTTTTTTAAAAAAATGCCCCGTAGCAAATAACCCATCCGGGGTGGGGGGTGGGAGTGGGATAATATGTCTTTAAAACTCACATTTTAAAAATGTTTTTGTTTATTCCAAAGGTGCTTTTTCAAGAGGCAACTGGACTTTCTGGGGGTTTTTTTGAAGACGTTTCACTTCTCATCCAAGAAGCTTCTTCAGCTCTGACAGGATAGCGGGGAATGGAAGGATTTATATTCCTTGTAGACAGCTGGTCATTTACATCCTTTTAGAGCAGGGGTGGACAACTGTGGCCCTTTTACAACCTGTGATACTGAGGAGGGCGCGTGCGCGAAGAGAACTGGTAGTAACACCGTTTGGAACCTACCAAACTGCTGCAAATTTAAATAAATAAGTAATGAAATTAAAATTCAAAAAATTACATAAATAACTGTTTACTGAGTTTTGGATTAATAATGGTTATGTCAAACAAGGCTGCAAGGTGGTTTTGCTGTAGACACAAAATGTAGAGTATGAAGTATATATATCCAATATTGTTTTTGTTTTTAAAAATTTGGTTTTGTAATTTTTTTTTTTTAATTCCCCTTCATGGCCCCCCTTTGAGCTCCATGGGCCCCGGAACAATGTACTGGTTGAATCCCCCTCTCCTCAGGCCTGCCAGCTGGCTGAGGAATTCTGGGAGTTGAAGTCCACAAGTCATAAAGTTGCCAAGGTTGGAGACCCCTGCACTAGAGAGAGATGTAGGGATTTGTGGGTACAAAAAATAGCGAGGGGAGGAGGATCGAGCTGAATGAGCCAGCCAGTAATTTCAGACCTTATCGGGTTTTTTTTCTCCTTGGGTGTGTAATGAAGAGCTCTCTTGTTGCCGACAGCTGCTCTTGAGGAGATATTTTATAGCATCACTTCCATAATTCAAGGTCTAATAAGCCTTATAACCGAGAAGCTTAGACAGACTTATAGGGATGGAGACTACAACGAGTGCCAAAGCTCCAAGCAAATAGAACGCATAGTAAACAGGGGAAACAAATCTGCCCTGGCAACATTTTAATCTAATAAAATGGAATCTTTCGGCTTGCTTTTGTGCGTCGGGATTTTGGATCCCAGACTGAGAAGTGAAACCTATGGGAAAAAATAAAATTCTTGTAATCCTTCAGTGAGCGTCCTCTTATCTTTCAGACTTGGATAGTAGGAAAAATAGCAGAAAGGTTTCCCCTGCAGGGTTTACGTCAGTGGTGGGTTCCTCCCGGTTCGGTCCGGTTCGGCTGAGCCGGTGACAATATGACGTCACCGAACTGGTTCTCTCCCCCGCCTCCCACCCCCCCACCCCCATGTTATTCTTACCTTTTATTTGGTCCCACCCCCAATCTATTGCTGCCTCCTGAGTCCCATCTGATGACTAGAGGGAAAAAACCTGTTTAAACTCTTGCCGCGGGGCTTCAAAGGGCCGTCCTACAGCTGATCAGTGTTAAAAGCAAACAAATGAGTCGGGTCGTAAGTGCGAGGACCTTCCAGAAATGACTCTGACCAGATAGCCACGCCCACCTAGTCACATGGCCTCCAAGCCACACCCACAAAATAAGCCACGCCCACAGAACCGGTAGTAAAAATATTTAGAACCCACCCCTGGTTTACGTGTGCTTTGGAATCCTCTTTTTCTGCTGTTTCTGGATTCTTTTTTTCTTAGAACATAGAATAATAGCATTTGAAGGGACCTTGGAGGTCTTCTAGTCCAGGGATCACTAACCTTTCGGATCCTAGATACCACTAAATTCATAACTTTAAATCCCGCGGACCACTAATATGAATTAGTGATGGAATGGGGTTCTTCAGGCACTTAGCATGGCCACCTGTTAGCAAAGAGAAGCGCCCAAGGTCAACCCTACCTTTGCTGTCCATTGCAGCTAGGAATCTCAAATATGACCAAGAATAAACGTTTGTCTTGTAGCCAGCCCAGCCACTAGATTGCTCCTCCCTGCAAACTTTGTCTCTCGAAGAGCCCAGCTGAAGTTTCGTGCACCGCTCACTGAAGCACCTGGACTCCCGAAGAGGGAGGGAGGGGCTGGAGCTACTAAACAGGCAGCCAAGCTAAATGCCTGAAGGACCCCATCCCATCAACGAGTGGGATTAATTACTTTGGCAGGCCGTATCCGGCCCAGGGGCCATAGTTTGAGGATCCCTGACTTAGTGCAATATAAAAAATGCAAAGATTTTTCTGTAGACCACCAAAATTTTCTTGCGGACCACCAGTGGTCCATGGACCACCAGTTGGTGACTGCTATTCTAGTCCAATCCCGTGTCCAATCTCAAGCAAGAGATCCTATATTATTCTGGGCAAATGGTCGCCCAATCACTTCTTGAAAACCTCAGGGATGGAGCACTAGAGGTGGTATTCAGCCAGTTCGTACCAGTTTGGGCGAACCGGTAGCGGCGAAAGCCCAGCGTAATGCCATCCTATTTAGCCACATTTTCAAGACCGGGCGCATTCATGGAAGATGCACATGTGTGCATGCACGCAGTGAACCGGTGGTAAGAATATGTGAAACCCATCACTGTGGAGCATCCAAGTGAATAGGGCAGGTGTTAAATCTGGAGGCACAGTTTCCAGCCATTTTGAATCTCAGCCCAGCTGCAAAAAACAGGAAAATCTGAGCTCAATCCTAGGAGGGGGGAAATAAAGGGGGGGATTTTTTGAACCCTCTCTTGATCCTGGAGAAAACATAAATGCCTCCAGCAGCTAGCGAACATTGCTGAGATCTCAGCTAGTGCTCATGTGAAGCCTTAGGGCAACCCTGTCCTCTTCCATAATAACAATTGCACCAGATATTTACCACCAAAGAATTTCCTTCGGCACGCTTCTTCCTGTCTTAGCTTTGAGCTGGTATTTGGGTCACTCGGTAGCGTCTCTCTCATGAACCCTTCAATGAGGTGCTACAAGGATAGAGCAGACAAGCAATCAGTGGAGAATGAAGCTGATTTTTTCCTAATAGTCGCTTTTGGAAAGAACCAACTTAGCCTTTAGCAGTGGAACAATCTCAGGGCTGCAGGAGTTCCTGCAATCCATTAATCAAGAGATGTGATTAGGGGTATTTCTGCCGGGGCTTGTTCCAGTGGAGTCCTATTTACAAAAGCTGGGTTAGAATCCAACCTATTGTTCTTTTCCCCAGGGATGTTTTTTTTTTTTTACTAGGACATTTGTGCTTTTAATGTTAGCTAGGAACACACTCAGAGCTAGTACACCAACTGTCTGATTTTTGAGAGCTGAGGTTACTCCTTAGACCAGTGTTGGCGAATCTTTTCGGCACCGAGCACCGAAATGGGAGCACTCACGCGGGGGGGGGAGCACCAGAAACCGGAAGAGCAGCTCCCTGGTGCGCATGTGCACACTGGGAAGCTGAGCTTCCAGTTTCCAGCATGCGCATGTGCGTCGGTCACCTCGTCTTCTGGTTTCTGGTGTGCATGTGTGCCAGGAAGCTGCTCTTCTGGTTTCTGGTACTCTCGTGCGTGTGAAGACCAGCTGGCTGGCACGCATGTGCACACCAGAACCCAGAAGAGCAATGGGCGATGGCTGGCATGCCAGAGAGATGGCTCTACGTGCTACTTCCGGCACGCATGCCATAGATTCGCCATCACATCCTTAGATCCATTCTTCTACAGTTTTCCTTCCTTCCTTCCTTCCTTCCTTCCTTCCTTCCTTCCTTCCTCCCTTCCTCCCTCCCTCCCCTCCCTCCCTCCCTTCCTTCCTTCCTTCCTTCCTTCCTTCCTTCCTTCCTTCCTTCCTTCCTTCCTTCCAGAGTCAATGAAAAATATTGCTGCCCCACACATCAAATTTCAGGGACTTGTTCAGGCAGTGACCAGGAGTTAAGATTAACTCAAGGGCACCTACTGACATATTTACAAGGAACACATGACAAATATCAAGTCAACCTCTTTCATCTTTCTTCTTTCCTTCCTTTATCACATTCGTATAACCACCTATCTCCCATGGGTGGCTATGGGCAGAGTACATATTATAAAAACAACCAATATAAATTAAAAAGATTAAAACAATATAAAAAACCAGAAAGGTGGCAAACATATAAGGAGCACATTCAGTTGAGTGTCATCTAGCCATCTAACAAGCCCTGTCTACAGAAATACATGGGTAATATAAAGCTTAGAGTTGTTTTTCAAAATGAGATAGGCAGCAGAAGGAAGAGGAAGGAAGGGAAGGAAGGGAAGGAAGGGAAGGGAAGGGAAGGGAAGGGAAGGGAAGGGAAGGGAAGGGAAGGGAAGGAGGATACCTTAAGAAGAATGGGTCTACTACTATCAACTCTCAAAAATGTGATATAAATAAGTTGAAGCTCCTGCATTTGACAGAAAATAGCTGAAAGAAGAACTTCTCAGAGGTCATTGGATGATCACATCAAGATTGGCTTCCACTCTGAAGATGTTGAAAAGCTGGCTGCATATCCAGGCCTTGTGGTGGAGTAGGGAGTAAATCCATTTAAGCTTCAGTTATTTGTATGGTGTTTTTTTTTTAATCACTTTTATTCTGACTTTTATTCTGACATCATTTTTATTCTGTCTTTTTTATTATGTAAAGTGCCCCGATTCAGCTAAATGTTGGGTCTTTTTAAATTTTGTTTATTTATTTAGCAAAATTAAAAGACAGATAAGAATGTTGCCATGTGTACAAGTTTGTCTTTTTTTAAAAAATAAGCATCAGACAACCGATCCTCTGTAGATTGAGATGGGAGCCGTTTGATAGCAACATTCCTGTGGTGGAATTTCTCCTTGGTTCGCTTTTTATAGTATTTGACATGAGAATAGATGTAGGGAGCGATTTGAAAATATAATAAATAAAGAATAACTACAGGAAAAGGCAGTATCTGTGAGTTGGATCACGCTTGGAGAAATGGTACTATTTTTAGCATGCTGCACCTATGCAAATGTTCCACATGGATAGTTTTATAGTGTCTGTCTGGGCTGTAGATTAAGATGTGATAGACAAGATTAGCTATAATTATTAAAGGATGGTCTATTAAAAATAATAAATCAGAGCTGTAGATTTTTAATGTAGAGGTCAGTGCAATTCCAAACTGACCACAGTGTGAGAGTCTGGAAATATTTAGCTAGTGAAAATCAGTATAATCCAGTTGTCATTGCAAGTGCTGTTTATGAGAAATCTGATATTGCTGGTCTTTAATTCCAGGCCTCTCATTTCAGCAAACGATGCAAAACCATCACATAGTTTTTTTTTATTTAATGGAGAAGGGAGAGAGAAAGAGTAAGTTGACCTCTGTCCTGTTTCTGCTTGAAAGAAAAATAGTAGAAAGGGTAATTGGTGGAGTCGGTAAACTTCATAGCTTAACCTACAGTATTAAGGAGTAGATATCTGAAATCAATTTAAAGCCAACTAAGAATGTATAGCTAAGACTTTGAGAAGTGCTATAATCTCATCTTGACAAATTTAATCAGCCACATTAGCCTGATATCTTGGCACTGAAGCTCATTCTCTCTATTAATATAATGTGGGCCATCCAGAACTGTTTCCATCAAGTTTTTTTTTATTTTATAACATATAAAAATTCCATTTTCAATTAAACAGTGTGTTCTCTGGGTACAAACAGTTTTAGGAGATAGTAATCAAAATATTTACAACAGTGTTCATTACATTAGTATTGATTCTGTAATCATCATCATCATCCAGTGACAGGTATATCCACGAAGTGACATCAACAGGTTGTATCTGCCAAGAAAAATAGGGGGCAGAGGACAATTGCAAATCCATCAAACTGTAGAAGAAGAAAAACGAAGTTTGAATGATTATGTGAACCAAAGTTCAGAAAAATTGCTGCAGGCTGTCAAAACAGAGAACATTATAAAAACAACAGAAACAAAGGCAGAATATAAGGAAAAACAGCTGGGTGACAGATTAAATAGATGGAAAACCAAAGCTTTGCATGGACAGCGCTTGAAAAACATTGAAGGAAAATGTGATGACAACTTTACATGGACATGGTTTAAGATGGGAACCATCAAGAAAGAAATTGAAGGTTTAATACTCGCTGCTCAAGAACAAGCACTACAAATTAATGCCATGAAAGCAAAGATAGAAAAATCCACCGACAATCCAAACTGCCAACTGCCAAACTGCCGAGTTTCGAACAAAGTCAAAACTGTTTCGCATTTAATATGTGAATGCAGCAAAATCACACAAACTGATTACAAAGTTAGACACGACCGAATTGCTAAATTAATCCACTGGTCATTATGTAAAAAATACAATTTACCTGTATTCAAAAAGTCATGGGAACATAAAGTGGAAAAAGTTATAGAAAATGAGAAGGTGAAGATCTTGTGGGACTCTTGAATACAGACGGATCATCACTTGGAACACAACACGCCAGATATCACAGTTGTCGAAAACCGAAACGTACAATTTATTGACATTGCGGTACCAGGAGATGCCAGAGTCAAAGAAAAAGAACTGGAAAAAATCATGAAATATCACAACCTGGCCATCAAAACTACACGGCTATGGATGAAACATGTAACAGTGATATCCATTGTCATCGGGGCACTTGGTACCATGTCCAAGAATTTTATAACATACATCAGCAAATTGCAGCTTTCTGCAATAACACCAGCGGAACTGCAAAAAAATGCGCTACTTGGAACATCATACATCTTAAGAAGGTACTTGGTTGATACCTAGGATGCTGGCAGCAACCCGTATCAACCATTAGTACCAGTCAATGGTATTTGTGATGCATTTTTGAATGTTCAGTTGACTGAGTTTCAAGTTTAATGAATAAAGTATAATGATGATGATGATGATGTTTACTTAATCATTTTAAGATATCTCCCTTATATCATTGATCCTTTCCTTATATTTCCCTATTTCTAACTCCTGTTTTTATCAGCTAACCATTAATAAAATAAATCCCAGATCAAAAAGTATTCAGTTTCTTTCTTTTCCTTAATTGTAAGTATTAACCTATCCATTTCTGCACATTCTAATATTTTTTAAATCACATTTTCATCTGTAGGGATCTCTTCAGTGGTGGGTTGCCCCCCGGTTCGCACCGGTTCTATAGAACCGGTAGTAAAACCTGCGGGAGGCTCCACCCACTGACCCCGATGTCATCAGAACGCTTCTGCGCATGTGCAGAAGCCTTTGTGTGAGCGGCCCCATTGCAAACCAGTAGTAAAGGTAAGGAGAGCCAACCCCTGGATCTCTTCACTTTTCCATTGTTGTGCAAATGAACCATCCAGAACTGTTGAAGTTCATTTATAGATACGCATCCTGTTTTAAAGAAGAAATTTGCCTTTCCATATTATAATACAGGCAGTCCTCATTTAGCAACAGCCTTGGGTAGTGACTGTTCACAGCTACAACAGTGATGGAAAAGTGTTGCAATCAATGCTCACAATTGCAACCTTCACAGGTCTGTAAAGCAAAGGAACAATGATAAGCATAGGTCATGGTTTCACTTAGTGACCACTTCACTTAACTGAGTTGCTAATTCAATTGTGGTCGGTAAATGAGGATGACTTACATGCCCATCCAAGTACTAACTGGGCTCTGACCCTGATTAATTTATAAGCCTAAACATCTCCTGGAATATTTCATGCTTCAGTTAAATCCTACAGAAAGAAAGCAGGAAGGAATTGATTAGTAATAAAAGCAATTACAATAGCTGGACTTTTGATTTTATTTGTATTTATTTTTACTTATTAATCAGTTGTATGCGGCCTGTTGTCATCACAATAGGCAGCTTACAATAAATACCATGAAGCATCCATAAAATACTCATTAAAGCAAAGCTGTCTGTTACCAATAAATCACATCAATAAAATGGTTGCTACCCTTCAGCAAATCTTCCTCTGTGAAGTCTCTCCTGAACAGGGTTGCTTTGCCATTCTACAAAAAGGCT